ATACAATTGCTATAAAATGTATGGTCAGTGGCTCAGTATCTAATATTTGACAACTTCTTTGTATCCATCCTGTCACTATTTTAGCAATAACAGTAGTTATTCTATTTTCTGGAGGGAGCCTCCTGTGCTCCCTAAATGTACTATGCTGATTAAATACCAAACTATTAGGTGCCATCAGATTGCCTTCTGATGACACCTAATTCATCAAAATGATACTTTCCTGTGTTTCATTATGTTACATCTTCATGTGCTTCAAGTGATACAAGAAAATAAAATGAACGAACATTTAGAAAAATAGAAAAGGGGAAAATGGAAGTTCATCAAATGTGTTTGACAAATCTTGGTATTATCTCTTGACAAAAGAGAAAGGCAAACTATCTGTGAAAACATTAGATTGTTTACAAGTGACTACACTCAACTACAGCTAATTGCATGTCACAGCTCTGGTACTCTTTTTATCACTAGGAATAGCCTAGTGATCCTTAAAACAATTTTCTACCTTGAAGAATCTTTGTGATATGATTGTATGTTCTCTACATGTTTTTCATTTACAAGGAATTCCTTATAGTGTACTACTCAATTTCATAAGGTCAAGTGCATAAGGTCACACATTTATTAAGATGGTGCTAACTTGACTACCAAGGTTGTGTGTTAATACAATTATAGTGTATAAGGTTGAAACTTAATATGCAGTTCAATAAGTATATATTTGTGAGTGGAGTGACTGGAAGAAATAGTGGAGAGGGAGAGTGAAGAGGAACCAAAACATGAGCCTTGCAGAGTAACTGTTAACTTCATGAACGTATGTAGATGCAGAAGGATGATGTTTGGATAACACTAAAAGGCCATCCATGTTGGGCAGTGGGATTTATAATGCTTGATATTTATTCATATTGTGTAATAATGTAGAGGCATTTGCAATGAGCTCTTATGTTTTAAAGCCAAAGATGCATTGTCATTTAAAGTTTGAACAATAATTTAATATGTGGTACAATACTAACTGGAATACAAGGTTGTGATTCAGTAAGTTAATAATACATAAGTTATGCATATACAAAATGCTAATGTTTACTTTAGTGGATTTTTGTATCTGTTCATAGTATACATTAATTAATTTTAGCTTTTCAGCATTTCAACAGTATATTAAAATACAGAGTAGGATGAGATTGCAAAGACGTAAAGAATGTATCAAGAAGGAAACTAAAGGATATAGAAATAATAGATATTTTGGAACAGTTGTTCCTATATAAATATGCACAGGGCTGATCCCATTTATTGTAAGATAGGAAGTACCATACTGTACAGATAATAGGCAGAATATAAGATTATTATAATATTATTTATCTCATTAAAATGTAACTTAATACTTTTTAATGGCATAGCTTTGTATAAACATACATTGAAGAACATTTTTGTAATTTCTCCTTTTAAAATCTGAGTACTGAAGTATTCCTTGCTTATTAAATAATGAATAAAGTACTGACAATGAATACACTGAGACTTTATTATGAATATGCTGCTCGCAGGATAAGATATTGTCCATATTTTCAAAAACTTTAAACTTATCATAACTGATGACTGTATAAAATTTCAGACAACAGATTGTTGCCTCTGAAATCTTTCATATTGTGACTGTCTCATACTACCATGATAGAGCTTCTGCCTCACTCTCATGGGATCGGCAGTTTAGGTATCCTATTGCCCAAGTGAATGAAATGTTTATGTCCATGATAATGTGGAAATGTCCTGCATCTCTGACAAGCCTGTTGGTCACCCAGAGAAGGATCATAGTGAATCCTTGGAAGAATGATAGACAATTGGTGTGGTACTAAACATGCATTTCAGCTTTGGCCAACACCTATGTTGACTTCAGTGTTGAACATCCGGGCGGCGCTGCCAATCACAGTAAAGTAGCCGAGTCTTGTAAATACTGTACAGAAATCTGGATCACTATTACAATTTTCTCCTCGTTGCACCATTGAGACACTTGGTGCCTGGGGTAAAAGTTCTGCTTGTTTTTTGAAGGCACTAGGTTTTAAGCTAACTGAAACAACAAGAGACTGGAGCTGCCAGCTTCCTCTTTCAGCACCTTAGTGTGGCAATACAGAGGAAACATATCGCAGCCATAGTTCCTTGTTACCATTTTCACAGACGCGTCGTCTCTTGGGTGGGGCTTTGTGACCAGTGCTCACGAGGCCGGCCAGGGGCGGTGGGGTCCTTCCTTCTGTCAAGTTGACATCACAGTGCAGGAGTTCACGGCGGTGTGGTTTGCACTTCGGAGGGTTCAGATCGCCTGCAGATCGACGATCCAGCTCCATTTGGACTGCTTCCTGGTGGTTCATTGCCTGAACTGAGCGGGTTCGATGTGGTCCTTGGCTCTTTAGGGTTGGTCGCTTCAGGTGACTCGTCTGCTGAGTTCTCGGGGTTTGACTCTCCTGGCCGTTCATGTCCAAAGGGGTGTCCAACGTCCTGGTGGACGGCCTGTCCCGGTCCGTTCCCTTGTCCACGGCTGCGGTCTGCGGTTGACTGTCGACGCCAACTCTTTCAGTTGGCTCTGTCAGACGTTCGGGCCCCCGGAGGTGGACCTCTTCACGTCGGCGTGGTCGAGGCGTCTTCCAGTTTATGTGGCGCCCTTCCCCAACTGCGAGGCTATCGGGATCGATGTCTTTCGGCAGGACTGATTAAGGTGGGGGTTCCTGTACCTCTTTCCCCCGGTTCAGCTGTTGCTCCAGGTCCTGGCTCGCTTGGAGATTTACCAGGGGCGAGTAGCCCTCTTGGCTCTATGGTGGCTGGTCCAGCTGTGGTTTCAGGCGCTGCTTGCCCGGTGTCCAAACCCAGAGGTTTTTCCGTGACTCCGCCTCTTTCAGGAGATCGGCCCGGTCCGGTACGAGACTGGTTTGTTCTTCTCCGCGAGTATTCAAGTTTGGTTTTTTGACTCGTGTTTATCGCCATCTCTTTGGTGATTTTGCTGGTTTCCCACCTGTGGGCTTCCTCTCAGCAGCAGTACATGTATGAGGTTTCCTGGTGATCCTTCCGGTTTTTTTTGTCCCTTCGTTGTTGCTCTTCGCTTTCAGTTCGGATGGTGTTGTCCTTTCTTTCTTGGTTGTTCCAGGACCGTCATCTTATGCCTAATACTGTTGCCTCGTATCGTGCAGTGCTGGGGGAGCCGCTGCAGCTTGCTTTCGGTATCGATGTTACTTCTGCGCCATTTCGCAAGCTGTCTTGTGCGTTTTTTTCACCTCTGGCCTGCTCATGCGCTGCCTGAGCCGTCCTGGTCATTGGACAGAGTGCTCTCAGAGTGCATCACAACATTATTTTGTCTATCTAGGAATCTTCAAATGACTTATGTTCATTTACAAAATAAATTTGTGGTCAATTATTCATTTACAGGATTTACTGACCAGGATTATGATAATAGCAGGATTGTGGTGATAATTAGCGCTGTGCATAGTATTGTGGGAGGAGGAATTTTAGTGAGGAGGGAGGGAGGGAATCGACGTAGCGTCACTGTGTGTGGCAGACACTCTTGTTTGGGCTCACCATACTAGCTTAGTGGTTCGCTATGGTGAACATAAATGTAGATATTTATATATATACATGTGTGGATATATAGTGTAATAACAGCAACAAGAGTATGTTGGGAGGAGTCATTTTGGTGAGGGAGGTGGTCTCGTACTTGTAGCGTCGTCTTCTGTGTGACTGTCATGCAGTGTATGGTGGACACTGTGCTGTTTGGACACAATACCAGTTGTATAGTTATGGTGAATAAAACTATGTAGATACTTATACATAACGTGTGTAAATAGTGTAATAAAAGCAATAGCAGTATGGTGGGAGGAGGAATGTTGGCGAGTAATGTGTTGGAGGAGTGAGGGAGGGGTGGCTGGGTGTGGCAGCTAACTCATGTTTTTTGGGCTCACCATACCAACCTAGTGGTTTGTTATGGTGAACACATATGTAGATGGGTGTATACAATGTGACTGTCATACAAGACTCATACAATGTGTGTATATAGTGTAATGACAGCAAAAACACTGTTTGATTGATTATAGAATATAATATATGTCACATATATGAGCCCCATAATTTTGGGCATAGCGATGTTCCACACTTTAAACTGTATAAATTCCACAAATTACACACTTTTGCATTATATTACAGCAAAAAACAAGAGAAGAAATGAGTGAGAAACATCAAAATAATTGTGAAACTTTATATTCGCGGCTGCTGCTCCACAGGATCGTGGGGCCGACTGACCCCTAGTGCTCCATCGCTCAGCACCCATAATTTGCTCAACTTCCCAGCTCCATCGTGGCTAAAGTATGTCACATACAATATTTTTTTTTTAGTTTCCCGTAATCAGAGACTGCATTTTAACAATATAAGGAGAGAAAATAATTTTTTGGAAAGAATTTATTTCCTGAGCACCAGGGGGGTGACCATATTTGGAGGCAGAGCAGTTCAGTGGTTAAAGTACAGTACTTGGTGAAAGAGTGGTAATCTTTATGTACAATATTTAAAGAGAATGTGGTTTTTTCTATTCAATATTTTCTTAGTTACTGAACATTTCTCAGAATGTATCATGAAGGTATAATCAAGTACTATTTGTTTGATATCTTTGATTTTGTTAGTCACTGATAGTTAAGTTTTCATAATATTTAATGTCGAGTACAAAAAAATGGACTTTTGATTCATTTATTTTCTGCACATCGTAATCGTACACTATTACATGGTTGACATAATAGTCAATAAAACATTTATTTTTTATTTTTTAATTAAATTTTAAATCTTTAATAGTATTGTACTAATTTAATTTGCCTTTCATGATTAGTTTATACAGTATGTTGATGGTAACCACATAAACATTCATCTTTATGTATTTAAGGTGCGTATTTAAATACATCTTTATGTATTTCCAGTTAACTCTGGAATTGTGTTCAGGCACGTGGTAAATTCTCGTGATAGCCGGATGATGTCACTAAGGGTAAATATAACACAAGTATGGCAGAAGGTTTTACTTCAAGTGAAAGATTGTACATTTGTACAACACATGATAAAAATGTGTTACTTTCTACTTACAACAAAATTACATTATATATTTACAAGTTGTGTACATTCCAAGGTAGAATTGGTCAACAGACAGAGGGAAGTAACAACATGGGGTCAGAAAACTGGTAGAGACAGTGGCTGGCATACAGGACACGGAGAAGGGCAGATGAAGTGGAATTTGTCCCCCTCTCAGTCTCCACCAGGTCTGTCACTAGTTGAAGCCCCATCCATTATTGGCCAAGATTATGCCTAATGGCAGCACTGTTAATCATTTTCCCTGGTGGCAAAAGTTCTGCAGCAATTACCTATTCAAGGAATATTTTTGACACTATTGGTCGAATTTGGTCCTATTTCAAGTCTCCTTAGGAACAGTGTTGTAATCAATTCCACCACAGTAGGTTTTCAAGCTGTAATCTTGAAAACCAATACTTTGTTGGTCGGTACCCTATTTATCTTGGGTATTGGACTGTTGTAAATTTTATATATTTTGTGATACTGATACTGTACATGGTTACATATTTATAAACCTGATCACTGGGGGAGTCACATTTACGAACTCGACTGTTATGAAGAGTCACATTTACAAGCCTGACTACTACAAGGAGTCATATTTATAAACCTGACTGCTACAGGGAGTTACATTTATAAACCTGACTGTCACAGCAAGTCACATTTATAAATCTGACCACCGGTGGAAATCAAATTATATCAATTTAATTTTTTAAAGTTATGAACCAGCCAACATTGCTTGAGGCCCCACACAGCAACACTTTTATAAACCAGCTCACAACTGGCTATGTCCCTATCCAGACCAATGATCAACACCCTACCAAGTAGCACTGCTGTCGTTCCTGACCACTGGGGCAAGGCCTTGTGGTCCCAACACCTCAGGAATGAATGTGACAGTCTCCAGCATTTCAACAAATACAATATTTGTACAAATTATACTAGATATAATCTTTTAAGTCAGGAGAATAAATTATTATTAATTTTTCAGATAACATGGAAGTCTTAAGTAATTATCTTTACTTGCCAAATATCAAGAAAGCAGGAGTCATATGTCCATACTTACCTCAGTGGTGCGCAGAAAGCTGTCGCTAGTCTACAAATGGGGGAGGAAGTTCGTGAAACACACCTCCATTAAAGGTGACTGTCCAGATGACTCAAGACTCGTGTTCTTAAACAAAATATTGACTTATTGCAACAAAGAGTCCAAGACCCGCTGGTATTCAGCGTTTCAGATATTGGATCAAAATGAATATTAACATATTGTACAGAAAGTGTTCATACAAGATAACATGTCTTTATATACTGTTTATAATCTCTATCTATAAATATATCTTTGGCATTGAATAGCCATAAATCATTTTTAAAAGAAAACATTCAGTCATCCAAATAGCATATATGTAACATACACACTGTATATGAACACATTTGCAGTATAATTTATCTTTAAATAATATAAAACATTATTTTCAGGTATTTTAACAATTTATAGAATCACTTAAACCCATGAAAATGATGTTTTATAGCAATATATGGCAACTTGATCATAAGTGTCATCCAACTGCTGTTACGATGGTTCATGCTGAGCACTTGGTATGGTGTCCTCGTCTCCATATACTATCCCGAGTACATTAATATTGTCACACCGATGCACTTAATAAGCCTGGCTACGTGCATTTCAAGAGTGCAGACACTTTTGCACGCGTCTTATACCAGTGCTCTTAAGTGTTGTTTTCACCTTACTGTACCCTCTGTGATGTTTTCATTTTAAGTACACTAATAATACAGTCACTCTTTACTTCAGTACACCTTGAGGTCTCAACATCTTCGTACACCCGTAAATGTTTTCATTCCTCAGAACATCCCCAGAGATCTCCACACCTTGGTGTACCCCTGCAGGTACTCACACCATGGTGTACCCCTGCAGGTACTCACACCTTGGTGTACCCCTGCAGGTACTCACACCTTGGTGTACCCCTGCAGGTACTCACACCTTGGTGTACCCCTGCAGGTACTCACACCATGGTGTACCCCTGCAGGTACTCACACCATGGTGTACCCCTGCAGGTACTCACACCTTGGTGTACCCCTGCAGGTACTCACACCTTGGTGTACCCCTGCAGGTACTCACACCATGGTGTACCCCTGCAGGTACTCACACCTTGGTGTACCCCTGCAGGTACCCACACCTTGGTGTACCCCTGCAGGTACTCACACCTTGGTGTACCCCTGCAGGTACTCACACCTTGGTGTACCCCTGCAGGTACCCACACCTTGGTGTACCCCTGCAGGTACTCACACCTTGGTGTACCCCTGCAGGTACTCACACCTTGGTGTACCCCTGCAGGTACTCACACCTTGGTGTACCCCTGCAGGTACTCACACCTTGGTGTACCCCTGCAGGTACTCACACCATGGTGTACCCCTGCAGGTACTCACACCATGGTGTACCCCTGCAGGTACTCACACCTTGGTGTACCCCTGCAGGTACTCACACCTTGGTGTACCCCTGCAGGTACCCACACCTTGGTGTACCCCTGCAGGTACTCACACCTTGGTGTACCCCTGCAGGTACTCACACCTTGGTGTACCCCTGCAGGTACTCACACCTTGGTGTACCCCTGCAGGTACTCACACCTTGGTGTACCCCTGCAGGTACTCACACCTTGGTGTACCCCTGCAGGTACTCACACCTTGGTGTACCCCTGCAGGTACTCACACCTTGGTGTACCCCTGCAGGTACTCACACCTTGGTGTACCCCTGCAGGTACTCACACCTTGGTGTACCCCTGCAGGTACTCACACCTTGGTGTACCCCTGCAGGTACTCACACCTTGGTGTACCCCTGCAGGTACCCACACCTTGGTGTACCCCTGCAGGTACCCACACCTTGGTGTACCCCTGCAGGTACCCACACCTTGGTGTACCCCTGCAGGTACCCACACCTTGGTGTACCCCTGCAGGTACTCACACCTTGGTGTACCCCTGCAGGTACCCACACCTTGGTGTACCCCTGCAGGTACTCACACCTTGGTGTACCCCTGCAGGTACCCACACCTTGGTGTACCCCTGCAGGTACCCACACCTTGGTGTACCCCTGCAGGTACTCACACCTTGGTGTACCCCTGCAGGTACCCACACCTTGGTGTACCCCTGCAGGTACCCACACCTTGGTGTACCCCTGCAGGTACTCACACCTTGGTGTACCCCTGCAGGTACCCACACCTTGGTGTACCCCTGCAGGTACCCACACCTTGGTGTACCCCTGCAGGTACCCACACCTTGGTGTACCCCTGCAGGTACCCACACCTTGGTGTACCCCTGCAGGTACCCACACCTTGGTGTACCCCTGCAGGTACTCACACCTTGGTGTATGGCCTGCAGGTACTCATACCTTGGTGTACCCCCTGCAGGTACTCACACTTTGGTGTATGGCCTGCAGGTACTCATACCTTGGTGTACCCCCTGCAGGTACTCACACTTTGGTGTACCCCTGCAGGTACTCACACTTTGGTGTACCCCTGCAGGTACATACACCTTGGTGTACCCCTGCAGGTACTCACACCTTGGTGTACCCCTGCAGGTACCCACACCTTGGTGTACCCCTGCAGGTACTCACACCTTTGTGTACCCCTGCAGGTACCCACACCTTGGTGTACCCCTGCAGGTACTCACACCTTTGTGTACCCCTGCAGGTACCCACACCTTGGTGTACCCCTGCAGGTACCCACACCTTGGTGTACCCCTGCAGGTACCCACACCTTGGTGTACCCCTGCAGGTACCCACACCTTGGTGTACCCCTGCAGGTACCCACACCTTGGTGTACCCCTGCAGGTACCCACACCTTGGTGTACCCCTGCAGGTACCCACACCTTGGTGTACCCCTGCAGGTACCCACACCTTGGTGTACCCCTGCAGGTACCCACACCTTGGTGTACCCCTGCAGGTACCCACACCTTGGTGTACCCCTGCAGGTACCCACACCTTGGTGTACCCCTGCAGGTACCCACACCTTGGTGTACCCCTGCAGGTACCCACACCTTGGTGTACCCCTGCAGGTACCCACACCTTGGTGTTCCCCTGCAGGTACTCACACCTTGGTGTACCCCTGCAGGTACCCAGACCTTGGTGTACCCCTGCAGGTACTCACACCTTGGGGTACCCCCTGCAGGTACTCACACCTTGGTGTACCCCTGCAGGTACTCACACCTTGGTGTACCCCTGCAGGTACCCACACCTTGGTGTACCCCTGCAGGTACTCACACCTTGGGGTACCCCCTGCAGGTACTCACACTTTGGTGTACCCCTGCAGGAACTCATACCTTGGTGTATGGCCTGCAGGTACTCATACCTTGGTGTACCCCTGCAGGTACTCACACTTTGGTGTACCCCTGCAGGTACTCACACCTTGGTGTATGGCCTGCAGGTACTCATACCTTGGTGTACCCCCTGCAGGTACTCACACTTTGGTGTACCCCTGCAGGTACATACACCTTGGTGTACCCCTGCACGTACCCACACCTTGGTGTACCCCTGCAGGTACTCACGTGCACAACCTTCCCTGCAAGTTATCTTCTGATGCTTGTCTAACAACCTGTTATCTCCGACCTGGTGCAGAGGATCACTCCCATTCTGACTGCAGTCACCACAGTAATAACTAATTTGATTGATTACAAAAATTAGATTACTAGCACCAGTAAGTCTCATAGTGCCTTAACAATAAAATAAAACATAGAGAATAAAATGTGAATCTGTTTGATTTACTTACAACTTCTACGACCACGTAGGAATTGGTATAAATACTTTTAAGGTTTATTTTGTCAGTACAAAAAGTAAAAAAAATAAAATTAGAAAAAAGTGATAATCTGCATAAATATCTGTAACTAAGCATTGAAAAGTATAATGTAACATTTTATTAATCAATGTGAACAAATTTTTACAAACAAATTAAATTAGATATACAGTAATTCAAAATAAATTTAGTAGAATGTTCTTTCTTCAAAAGTCTGAGAATTTTCTTTAAAATATGTAATGCTTCTTGTAAGAAAAGATCAAATGGAAACTTTTGAAGCACAGTACTGAGGCTTTATAAAAAAAAATAGCACTGTGCGCTGCTTTAGGTATTACAGTACAGAACATGGAAATCTACAATTACAGGAGCAGCTAATACTGTAAATGCCTTAAATCACATTACAGTTTAGTAAAAATATAATTTAGTTACGGGGTACAGCAATTAAAGCTTAGCATTACCAAATAAAACTGAATGAAAATGAGAATCGATCAGTTTGATGTGTGGCTTGTGTTACAGATGGCTACCAATACACTGATAGTTGTCGAGTTTGTGAGCTTCGTCTTAGTTTGTGAGCTCCATCTTCGCTTGTGAGCTCCACACTAGCTTGTGAACTCCGTCCTAGCTTGTGAGCACTAGCGTGTCAGGTACAGTGATGCCACTTAGCCACATCAAAATGCTCACAGACCTCTCAAAATGTTTAAAGACTCGGTTGAAACATTGGTATTCCTTCTTTATTGCTAAGGAATATTGGAAGGCTCGGTAACTTTGGTCTGTTCTGCAAGACTAAATTATACTTTTCTTTTCCTAAACCTAGTCTTTGGTTCTGTTTGATTATCTAAACTATATATATAACTGTTTATGTATGCAAACAAAACTTTGTGAATGCATGGAAACAATTTTGATTACAGTACTGTATTTAAGTTCATTGCCTAAGAAGGAAGTTTTTCTGAGCTATTTCATTCAATTTCTGCATAAGGCTAGATCATGTTGGTCCCATGGACAGGACCATGCTCGGTCAGGGTTGGTTAAAAAATCCACACTAACCCAGCAGGGATCCTTTCAAACCGTCATATTTTAGTCATATTGGTGCTAGGGAGACACTGAAGAATACGTAACTGAGCTTAGAAAGACCTCTAAATTAATATGCACTTAAATCCTTTCTAAGCAATACCTTGCATCAGTGACCAAAGAGCTTTCTCACCAGCTTCTTATTGGCTCACTCAGTCACCTTCCTAACTGCTAACTGGTAGCAGCACCTGCACATTCAACCTGGCTAGTCCCCATGTGGCATATTGGCAGATGGAGATCAGAATTCAGTTAAGTATTTGTTGATCATCCTTAAAACATTTATGTTGGGGTTTCTGGGGTTATGTTTCTGGCAATGGAATGTGTGTGTGTTGACAAGTCAATGTCTGTTTCTGGAGTTTAATCATTCGACTAAATAATTAGACTGAGGTGTCCCAAAATTATTACCGTGTTTTCCAAACACAGATCAGCCATTGGTGTCATACCAACACTTCCTGGCACTCCACCAATCTTCACATGGGGAGTTTCTAGGGTGTATTGCCGATACTATAGGGAACACATTAGGGCCTCTTCTCATCAGTGGGTTTCTTGTGCCATGCCACATACTTATTTCTATTCCTGTCCTTTCTTACTATTTTTTTCTAAACAGGCATTTCATGACTAATACAATCTTGCTTTGGCCTCAACTTTCCAGTCCTTCCCATAATCTGTTGGATCCTTAATAAGGTGTTGGATCTCCTGATTCTTGATAGGTTTTGGATTTCTCCCTCTTTCAACGACATACTTAAGACCATTACTTGCAGCTCTTGCTACTGGCAATTGGGTCAGTGAGCTCCATGCTATCTTGCATCAGCCTGGATCACTATTAGGCATCTCCATCCAAACTGCTCTCTGGCAGAACATGAGTCAAACACATCTTGGAGGGGGAGTTCTTTATATTTTAGGGTCTGGTTTATCCATCCAAGTGTTCACCGCGTGGTCGGTCCTGTGCTGTTATTGTGCAGTTATCTGTGCCCTTTGGCATTCTTTGCCAGAGTCATTATTCCTAAATCATTTCACTATGATGCTCTGTACTACTATACACACTTATTCAAACTAAAATAACTGCAGACATTCACCACACTAAAGGAATCTTTGTGAGCAATGTCTTCTGCTGACATCAGGATTCCAGTTCTGGAAGTGAAACCATACATTTATGTCTCAGTAGGTTTCCAAGATTTTCCACCTGAGGCACGAGTGTTCAGCCTTTTTGGGAGGCTTTCTTCCAGCCTCCAGAAAATAAGCATCACTTCTGGTAGGATCTGAGTGTCGAGATGATCAATTCCTTGACTGCTGGCCTCTTCTTACTCTTGTAGATTCTCGAGGCATCACTGCAAAACAGGTGAGTTTTACCATGTTTTTATTTTGTTTGGGTTTCTGCTATGAGCAAAGCCATAGGAAGCAACCGAGTAGTATTGCTCATAAGTGTGCTTTTGGAGCCTGTTTCGAATGGAACGGGACTCAAGCCAAGGTACCCAGTTGTAGGTCATTCTAGCTCGAATGAGTTGCATGCAATGGCTCCCTGTCACCAGAATGACCTGGCAGGGACAACTTGAAAAGATACATAGTGCATATTGTTAAACCTGGCTTGTCTTTACATAACCGTGTCCATGAGAAAGTTGGATTTAGCCTTAAGGAAAAACCGAACATGCTAATCGGAAAGAAGCTTTTAGTATACAAATAGTACAGTTCTGTACACTCAAAGCTTGATTTGTTACAAATTAAACTTATGCTTCAAGACTGTTGACCTGTTTTTATATTTACAAAATACTTTGCTCTAAAGCTAATCAAAACAGTTTTAAACATTTTTCTAAAAATTAATAGTTCAGTTATGTCATCTAATTTGCTTCATTATTTTGTAAAATTCATAATAGTCCACTTAGTACTTTAATACATTAGGTAATAACTTTCATCAAATATGGTTTTTCACATTTTGATTATGCTATGTTTCAAAAGTATATGAATGCATATAAAAATGTGCAGTGTATTTACATTAAACAGTATCTAAAAGCTGGTTGCTTCGTATAAAAATTCCTGAATATCCGCCACTATTACAATGAAGAAGTTTAAGTTAGGCCTCTTCCCAGGTGACACTCCACACGGGCTCGGCAGCTGAACTCAGGACTCACGGACCCTTCACATTGTTGTTTCCACAGTTGAACCTACACACAGATGAGCTCCTGGTAGAAATAATGAAAGATATACATATATATACAGTATAAACATATATATATATACTGTATATACATATAGATATACAGTATATTATATATATATATATATATATATATATATATATATATATATATATATATATATATATATATATATATATACACATATACATATACATACACTGTGTCATATTGTACCTAATAAGCCATGTGTCTAACAAACTGAATTTTCCCAAAATTAATGTTTATATATTATTCTTATTGAATTATAAAGCTTTCTATTATATTATAAAGTATATGATTACAATTTTTTTGAGTTAAAAGTAACAAATTTTATTAAACCTCACCAAAGTCAGTAATTTATGTTATTAATATACTATACTGTATTAATATTAATTGGAATAAATCAATTTGAAAAAAAAGATTTGAAAATAACAAAAATCACTCTGCCAGTTAGGAAAATCAGGCTTTGAATATTAGATTAAGTAGTGTATTCTGGCTATTAAGTACAACATACAGTATATACAATCTGTACTCTCATTTCAATTATTGCTACACCAGCACAGTCCAAGTATGGCAGAAGATAAAGCAATTGGGAGTCGCAAGCATTATTTCCCTGATACTGGAAAATACTGCGACAAGAAAGCTAGGGCCGAGTTTGAGAAAAGTGCTCCGAGTAAAACCAGTGTGTGGCCAAGTGCCTCCTCCATCATTTCTAGCGTGTCACACAGAGATTGTTAGTGCCTAACACCATGATGTTTATGGATTAGACATTCAAACCCTGGAAGACTTATCTTTTATGTTGCTTGTAAAAGACAGGGAGTGATAATCCATGACACCAGATGCATGCTTAGAAAACCAGAGCTAAATAATCAAGACATTTTCTTCCTAGAGAAAATGCCAGATCAATAAAGAAATCCCTAAAAACATTAAAATATATATATATATATATTTTAAGGCCTTAAAACATTTATAAAATATTCTCAGGAACATAAATGTTACACTTTTTGTAGAAAAATATGCATTATTCAACTGAGTGTGCCATAATGGTAATTAAAAAAAAATCATCTCATACTCATAGGAAGAATTCTATACAAACTAAAAAAAATATGTGCACGCTATAATCTGTGAAATAAATATATGCACACAGACGTGTACATATAATTGGTAAAGTGTGGAAGAGGACAGAAGGAGCGTAGAGGCCGGCCGCTGCATCACTGTACCATGACTCGTACTTCTGAATATGTCTTCAGTTGCTATGAATCGTAACGAAAAATATTCCCTTCCTGTTTATTTAGGAGGTACAGTATTCTTTCTGATATACAAAAGAGCTTCATTCACATAAATTGTAAAAGACATCTACATATTGTCACATGCACCCTACTGGAAACTTTATATAATACATTAAGTAGGTTATTAGTTTTTTACTAGAGCAAGAAAATAATATCAGGGAAGATTGTCTTTACCTCTCACTGTCATAACAAAATAGTTCCAGCATTTTGAAGTGTGTGCACTGTCAACAATTTTGGCAAGTACATTTGGTCATAAATAGTTTGGCAACTCGTATCTTTTCACAAATCACTCGGGAAGACACCGAAAGAACATTTGCCAACATAAGAATTTGGCATCCCTACATTTTCACAATATAAAACACATTCTTTTGGCTTTAACACCATCTTAAAAATGAGCACTTTCATTTATTAAATAAACAGGAGCTTGTCAGTGGATTCGTGACTGACAAGCACACCTAGTCACTATCCTCCTGTTCAGGGCTGGAGCTGGGTGTTACCAGCAAGTGCTGGGCTGGAACTGGGCTCAAGGCTGGGTCCTGAACTTGGCCGGGTGAGGGATCAACCACACCTGACTACATTTGTCTACCCGAGTGGTGGAGGAGGCACTCAGGTCATGTTGACTGGCGGGGGAAGTCGATGCATGAGGGCAGCATCACGGGTCGGGGAGCCATGAGAAGGTGTATACTGAGGGTCTACAGGGCCACGAGGAGATGACGACGCTCCCTCGGGAACACCTCGTTCATCTCTTAGCACTTCTAGCTTTCCAACACTACCATTAATCATAGGCCCAGCAGTTGTTCCTGAAGGTCGTGTTGAAGAGATACTTTCTGGCACTATAGGTGTGGTGTAGCTCAGGTGACTAGATACAGTATGGGGCAGGTAGTTCTGGTGAATATGTGGGTGAGGTGGTAGTGATTGCTGGTGAGACCAAACTGGTGAACATGCTTGATCTGTGACAGTCCCACCACCAACCAATCTTGCATGTGGAGGGTGTCTTGGTCCACATTGGTGCACTTGTACAGATCCTATAGGCATGGAGGATACCTGGGGTACAGAGTGCATTTGTGGATGCACTGTGCGTGCATAAGGCGCTCCTTCTCTCGGTGATGTTATTAATGGTCGAGAGTGTGGGTGCTGAGAACCATAGGGAGGAGGATTTGGATATCTTGCTGGATCATGAGGGATCATGGGTGGCTGGTAGTGAGAAGGAATTGGGGCAGGGATAGTTCCAGGGTAAGATCCACGCTGGGCCAGAGGTGGGTGGCCACCTTCATATGAGGCACGGGCTGGTGGTGGCTCTTCGTATGGATGGTAATGCACAGGGACACGTGGGTTTGGGTAGTGAGATAGTGAGGAGTGGGGCCTCGTAGCTGGTGGTTGAAGCAAACCCCTTGTAACTAAAGAATCTGGAGGTAAATGGCCATGCACAGAAGCAGGCCTTCTGCAAGTTTGGTAATGATGTTCATGTACAACTGGAGTGGGCATTTGAGGAGCCATAATCATGCCCTGCATGGGTCCATCTAGAGGTCCTTGAGACAAGGAAAGGCTGTGTGCTCTAACAGGGACTGGTGCTACACCAGGTCGGATTAAATCTGGTGGAGGGGATTCTCTTGGAATTACCAATCGTGGTGGCGGTGGACCTCTTAAATCTCCTGTACTAGCATACACGTGGACAACCCGTGGTGCCTTTGTGTGCGTAAGAGAAGTAATTGTGGCAGAAGATGTAGAAGACAAGGGGGAAGCTTGAGGAGAGAGGTCAGATGTAGGTACATAAAGCATGTCCTCTTGTAAGGCAGGAAGAACTGCCCTGTTGGTGGACGCTCTGCGACGTTGAGGTGGTCCAGAATCCTCATCTCCAACATCCCGGTATGGCCAAGTCATGTGTGAACCAGCCATCCCGGGTTGGGCCATAGTAGGTGGTGTTAACTGTGTTGCCATTTGTTTTAAAAGGTCTGTAGTTGACCCAAATCGAGGTTTAATACCTCTTACCGATGGCCGCCTAATAAAGCCATGATCCTCTAATTCTCCAGCATCGTAACGGCGCCGGAGCCGCTCCATACGACCTGCATCCTGGCGCACAAATTCAGCTAGCTCATCTATGTCAACACCACCTGCTGGTAACCCTAGTATTTGTGCTCCACTCATTGGTAGACCATTTACTGGACATAGTTCTCCATTTGTCTCATTGCTACTATAGCCACTCTCTGTTGTGCTTGTGCCATCCATATCACTCTTTCCTGAGAGACGTGGTGATGACTGTGATGATGAAGGTACTGATGATGACCGATCGTCATGCAGAGCTTCATCAATATCGTCAAATGTGTAGGAATCTGAGTTTGATGCAAGTGAAGAGCGATCACCAGGATGGGCAGAAATTCCATTAATTATTGGCACACCCGAATGGCTTGACATTTGCGAAAGGAATTGCTTCCTTACATCTGAAGTTGTTGCTCCAGACGTTGGGGCTTGCTGACCTTCTTCCACCTCTTCACCATCTTCAGATGCTGGTGGTAATGTTCCCTCTCTAGTATATCTTACTCCTCCACTATAAATGAGTTTGTCATTTTCTTCATCAGAAATAAGGTCAGCTATGGAGACAGCTGGAATAGCCTGGAACACTGTCGGTGTTGTAGACCCTGAGTGGGTCTCAGTTAATTCATCACCTTCGGAATCCAGTGAAGGTCCTTTGATGTCTGGGAAGAGGTCTGCTTGGAGCTTCCATTCTCGTACATCACGTGGTACTAGGATATCAGTTGCACGTAGTGATGTGGTTTTGTTAAACATCTCTGCCAATTTTCGATATTGAGCAATAGTTTCTTGTACCTTGGGATCAAGGGACTTTGAGGAGTCATGTTCATCTTGGTCTTCATCACCCTCTTGGTCCTCATCATCGTCTTTGTGCTCAGAGTTCCCATTAGTTGCATCTTCTGAAGCAGTGAGCCACTTCAACTTCTCTAACAATGATGTTTCTACCTTGTCACTTTTGTCATTCTTATTTGTATCTTTCTTGCGAGCATCAGAAAAGCGAATAAGGGATCGCCTAAGTGCATTACGCTCAATGGCTCTCCTCACTTCGCTGTTGCTTCGCATAACACCGCCAGCCACATGTGCTATATCAGCATTCTCTAGCCTACGGATTCTCGTCTCAGTCATGGTTGAATCTGAAGACTGAGAATCTGATGAACTTTTTGATTCATCACTGCACACGCTGGTGTTATCACGACCTTCTGCGGCTGCAATACGACGTCTCATTTCATCATACCGTTGCATAGATTCCTTGATTTGCTCATCATCCATTGGTGGTGGAAGCTGTTTTTGCTGATCCTCAACTGAATTGTCAGCATTTGTCATCCCAGGTCCCCCATCAGGCTCTGCCTTGATAGGGCTGAGTTCCACATGCCAGTCTTCACGGCCCTCCCCAAGCAGCATCCCTAGCTCTCTCAGTTTTGGCATGAACCTTGCCAGTGCAGCTGAATTGGCAGCGTCTAGAGGTATCTTGTCTAGGGGCAGGTTTTCCAAAAGGCTGTACTCGTCCCTCCCAGAGAACCTCACTGAGCGCCGGGGCTCATCCACCTCCTCCTCCTCTACTTTGGCTTTAGTCTTTTTACTGTCACCGTTCTTCCAAAGCTTCCCACCCTTCAGAATGCCAGTCTTAGCCACCTTCGGATCAGCAGAGTCCTGTTCGTGCCCCTGCATCAACTGGTCATGATGACGGACGTTCTCCACCGTCAGCTGTGTCAGTGGAGTCCTGTGAGTGACCAGGTCTGGCAAATGAGGTCTCGGTGCATCAGGATCCACTAACCCGTCACCACTTCCAGACTCGGTATCTGTCGGAAAACAAAATATTTTAATATATGAGATACAAAATATAAGCATACTATATAAGTAAATGTATAAACTTTAATAAATATATAAATAACCTAAATACTGATATTAGAGATGTACATATATGGAAAATTATGTATTTTAAAACATGTAAGTAGAATATTTTCTTACTGCATAATTTGTTGAACATTTGTGTATATTTCTTATGATTAGTCATATGAGAAACCTGCTATGATTAGTTATACTGTATTTCGGAACCCTATATTATATATATATATATATATATATATATATATATATATATATATATATATATATATATATATATATATATATATATATATATATATATATATATATATATATATATATATATATATATATATATATATATATATATATATATATATATATATATATATATATATATATATATAACATACATAGAAGGCACATAGGGTTTATGAGAGTACATAGCATGATGTGTTTACCTTCTTGTAAAGCCACTAGAACGCATAGCATTTCGGGCAGGTCCTTAATCTAACAAATAATTTTAAGTAGGCAATTTCTAGCAAAATTTATAAAATGTTAACAGGTTCATTGAAAGAATTTTTGACAATGATTAGTAGGCACATTAAAGCACATTGATAGCTTTGATTAAAAGCATTGATAGCTTGAGTGTTAATTTGACAAAGATTAGGAGGCACATTAAAGTACAGTGATAGCATATATAAGATGACAGCAATGATTACAATGATAAAGTTGTAAGTCTTAGGTGTATATATTGGGGGGGATTGGGTAACATACAATATACAGTATGTGTTCAATATAACAACCATGATATAAGATATCAATATCATCATATCATGGCTGTCATCATATCATCAATATCATAGTTGTTCAATATATCAACCATGATATAAGATGATAACAATGATTACAATGGTAGAATTTATATTTCTAAGGTACATACAATATATTGGGGGATTTGGTAGCACTAGATGTTATGATTAGTCACGTCTAAGAAAGCAGCAAAATTAATCACGAAACAAGTCTTCTGAAGGAGACTTCGGTAGTGTTTCTCCACGACAGCAGACAGGTGTGTCTGCTTCACTGGCAACTGGGGAAGATTGTGACCTTGAAGTTTAACTGGCCAGCTGACTGCGTCTAAATTGCTTGCTTGACATCAGTTGATATCATAGTATTGGTCAGTAAAGCATTACAGTGCAGAAGCAGTTACTTGATATATGCATAATAAACTTTACCAAGCATAATTAAATTTGAATTAAAAGTAATCTAACAGGAAGACTATCGTAATAGTACAGTAACAGTAATAGAAAAATATTATTTTTATTTCAATACCTCTTCCTATTAAACAATGACGAATGAGAATGGTTGTGATTTGCGAAATAAAAAAAAATTGCGATTGTGAACCTTGACCTGCTTGGCTTTTGAAAAATATTCTTAAAAGCACACGGTATAAAACTTAAAATTGTTTCCTCACTTCATGGGAGAACAAATCAGTAACTTCTGACTTGTTAGCAGGTTGAGAGCCTTCCCTTCCCACAGCTCAACCTTACCCTACCAGTCTGCCTTGGAGCAAGCAGGTCCCTAATTACGTCTTCACACACACTTATGATAAAGTTAATTTAATTAATGATAAAGTACTTACAAATACTGTACCACTAAACTAGATTGGACAGCCAGGTCTCTCTTCCTTCCTTTTCCACTTTCAACCACCCAACACATTATATGGAGCCAAGAACCACAACACCAGCCATCACTATACCATCAACCACAACACCAGCCATCACTATACCAACAACCACAGCACCATTACTATATACTATTACTGGCCAAAAACCACAATGTTTACTTTGACCACCAGTTCATTAATTAAAACTACGGTCATTATTCTTTCTGAGGTTATAACTTTTACCAGACCAGATGGTAAAGGTACACTGTATCACCTATGTATCTTCCACAGCAGCCACGTTAAACATACACCTACCACTGCTACACTGCCCAAAATAACTCCAACAGTCAGCACTACACTATTTCATTACACAAACCATTATACTGACCAAATATGCACCAAAACCAAAACGATACCAGCCATCAATACACCGTGCATAATACAACCCGTCCTCGACTCAAGTCCATTACATTCAGCTGTCAACCCCACAGACGCATTCATAAATTTTAACATGCTGTTCATTCAAAACGGGAATTTTCGCAAGTATAAATTAATATTATAATATATTAGCATATTGTGTATATATAGGTATAGGATAGGTTAGGTTAGGTGTTTAGGTTCTGTTGGCGATTATTTGTATTTGTAGTACGTGGGTGAAGCATTTATAGCGTTGTGATTCGAACAAAATTCGTCAGTGAAGAACTTGTTCCGGATATGTTCGAACGTCAGCAGTTGAGTCGTGTGTAAACCGCTTTTCATTCATAAACAGGGGGTTTGGCGGGTGCATGGAATCACTTTTGGATCTTTGTTTGGAGGACGGGCTGCATAATAACAAAGTGTTGTCAATAGACAGGTTCCACAAATAACTGAGACAGTGAAGACAGGTTTCTATAATAACTAGGGGAACATCAGTTCATTTTCTGTCCCCACAACCCGTCCTCATACCAAGTCTATTCCATCCGGCGTTCGACCCCAAAAACGGATTCATCAATTTTAATTAACTTGCTGTTCATTCAAAATAGGAATTTTCTAAAATATAAATTAATATTGTTATATATTAGCATAATGTGCATATTTAGGCATTGGTTAGGTTAGGTTTATAGGTTCTGTTGTAGTTTATTTGTATTTGTAGTAAGAGGTTGAAACATTTCAAAATGACCGGTCACGAATCACAGCCAAGGGCCAATAAGCAGCCCGTTCTGCAAACAAAGATCCAAAAGTGATTCCATGCACCCGCCAAACCCCGTTACAACTGATTTCGTTCGAACACTTCCGGAACAAGTGCTTCACTGACGAATTTTGTTTGAACAGCCCGTCCTCCAAACAAAGATCCAAAAGTGATTCCATGCACCCACCAAACCCCCTGTTTATGAATGAAAAGCGGTTTACACACGACTCACAACTGCTGACGTTCTAACATATCCGGAACAAGTGCTTCACTGACGAATTTTGTTCGAATCGCAACGCTGTAAATGCTTCACCCACGTACTACAAATACAAATAATCACCAACAGAACCTAAACACCTAACCTAACCTATCCTATGCCTATTTATACACAATATGCTAATATATTATAATATTAATTTATACTTGAGAGAATTCCCGTTTTGAATGAACAGCATGTTAAAATTTATGAATGCGTCTGTGGGGTTGACCGCTGAATGTAATGGACTTGAGTCGAGGACGGGTTGGACTCCTGCACTGACGACCTTCGTGCGACAAAAGTGGATCAACCTGTTGCGTCAACTTCCTCGGACAGCCCCCCCCCTCCACCAGATCAAAGAGTGTCATCCCCTTGCTGCCGTTATAGCGCCTTCTGGCTTGATAATTAACCCTCATGGATCAACCCGTCCTCTTAAAAATAAAGTACATACTGTCACATATTCAGACATACGTAACCCCATACTTCCCTAGATATATACTCACACATACCTAGCCACATACTCACACATACCTAGCCATATGCTCACACATACCTAGTCACATACTCACACATACCTAGTCACATACTCATATATACCTAGCCACATGCTCACACATTCCTAGCCACATGCTCACACATTCCTAGCCACATGCTCACACATACCTAGTCACATACTCACACATACCTAGCCACATACTCACACATACCTAGTCACATACACATACCGAGCCACATACTCACACATATCTAGTCACATACACACAGCCACACACACCTAGCCACATACACACAGCTAGCCACATACACACACCTAGCCACATACACACACCTAGCCACATACACACACCTAGCCACATACACCTAGCCACATACACACAGCAAACACCGTGACATACATCACCAAAGCCCTGCAGACTATTTTGTACCATGAGCGTCGAGGAATGCAGGCGTGAAAATGACGACCATGATCACGTGAAAGTGACGAACACGAGCATGTGAGAGTGACGAACATGAGCATGGGAAAGTGACGAACACGAGCATGTGAGAGTGACGACCATGAGGTGAACTCAAGGCAGCCTAACAATGAGAGAACTTCTGGCCTTCAGATATTCACTGCAGACAGCAGTGACCTTACACCGATTAACGGTTCATGTGATGTATACTATAAGATATAATGGCTGCTTATCTGCTCAGAGTTGGAGGCTCATCCAAACTTGCAGAGGGAATGGTCTGGGGTACGGGATGAACATAGGCTGGTCGGGGGGGGGGGGGGTCTGAATTAAAGAAGGGAACAGCGTGCCAGCGTGAACATTCACACCCCCACCACGATTTTTGGCACTGTCCGCCAGCTGCCATGACGACCCCGACCAGCTAAATAATTTCAAAACCATTTTTTTATTATAGTAATATGCAACATTGTTCACTGATCTCGGGAAAGTTGTCATTGAATTGACGTGGGACAATCTATGATATCTTGATCTATTGTATTTTAAGGTGTTTCTGTTCAATGTCTGTTGTTCTATAACTCCTTGAGTCTTGTACTCTCTTTGACATTATTGTTGTTGTCCCTATGTTGTACAGAGCTCCTCCACCTGCTCAAACTCATCCACTTATTATACACAGAAATCACAATAGCTTGATGAATGTAATGAACAAATCCACACGAGCCGTGACGAAGGTTCGAAGCTATGTCCGAGAGGATCTCAGGCGCTGCCTTACGCTTGTTCATTTGATGCATCACGCTATTGTGATTTCTGTGTGTAATGAAGGGCGAAGAGGTAGAACAGCCTATTGGCAGAGCTCGGGTGCATGGGGGGAGTTGTGTAAAACCCTTGTTTGTGTCTCGGAGAGGCTGCAGGACCCGCGGTAAATCAGGATGATT